GGTTCAGCCTTCTTTTGTTTCTCATAATGTTCATAAATTAAGACAATAATCACTTTTGTGAGAGTGGCATTGCCTAAAGGATAGAAATCAAAGGGAGTAGACCACTTATTAAAATGAACAGCTCAGCCAAGAAGCGCTGGTTTTATAACCCAAATCTTTAGTGAACTAAATGGGGTAGGGGCCTTTTGGGATGTTTTTCCTGTTGTCCTTCAGGAGGCCAGTTGGCAACAACTCTAAGTGAAATCCTCAAGTTCTTATAATATATAAAAGACAAGATGAATTGAGTATGTGGGTTGAGGCTGAAAAATAAGTGATTGTATCACAGTTATACAGTGCTTTTTCAAATCCCTTTTTCTATTTTGTCTTTAGTTAGTAGTTTGGACAGGCCATTATTGGAATAGGACACAACCTCCAAAATCTTAGAAAATAAGATTTCACCAAGCAGTGGAAAGTACCATGGAAGCAAAAAGGTTAGTAATATTTTTAATTGCTGCATGTACCATGTCATTGCTTGGTATAGAAATAAGAAAGCTAAAACAATTCCTTTGTCACAGATGCAATGCTATCTTTTTCACTTAAGCAAATTTCAAGTACACAATACAATATTAGCTATAGTAACCACGCTATGTATTAAATCATCAGAACTTCTCATTGTATAACTGAAAATTTGTACCCCTTGACCAACATTTCCCCATTTTGTCCACCTCCCAGCCCCTCAGAAACCACCATTTCACTCTTTATTTTAATGATCTTGAGTTTTACTGTTGGGGGTTGGGGTGAGACCGTTCCCCCCCCTCTTTGAACCATCCATGTAGATTCTTTCAGAGTAGAATTTTTATCATGTAACAACATGAAATCTTGCACATGAGAGATCTTATCCTGTTTACCAGATCTTTGGCAAACAATTCTGATTTGTCATTGGCTTTAATCGACCAGTTAGCTAAAATACAACCTAGTGGAGTCTCAGATGGAACCAAGACCAAGTCTCCTGTTTCAAAACAGAAAAAAATAGTCTAAAGAAAAACAAGGTCAAAATTAATGAGTTACAACACAGCAAGGATCAAAGCAAGTCCCCAAAAGAGGAGAAAACAAGCAAAGAACAATTGTAACCAAAGATTCACTGCAGACAGACAGATGAGGGCTCTGAGAGCACTTAGAACAGACAGACCAGAGCTCTCAGACAGAACCAGCTACATTTTCATACTAATTAATAGTTTAGATTTCAGTAGTGCACTAAAATATTTATTAAATCTTCACTTTCCCCCCTTGTGCTTAAGCTCCATGAGGCAGGATCAACGTGTGCTGGTTCATCATCAATTCAGCATCAATATTAGAAACAGAAGTCTCAACCTCCCCATATAAAAATACACGTGCATGGAGGCAGCTCCTATCTCAAATAGAATCCCGGAAGATTAGTTAATAGCAAGGAAAGAGATATCAAACGCCTACCTTTGAAAACGTGCCTAAAATGCTCCTTTAATGTCATTAGAAAGAAATGGATCTGATATTTTTTTAAAAAAATTGATGTCAGAAGATACATGCAAATATAAGGAAGTTCTTTTAAAAAAACTATTCTAAAAGTATAGGTGAAAAATGTTCAGATCCATACTTTCAAAATAGTGTAAGTTCTATAAGAATAATTTTAAAGATACCATCCAATTTGAAGGATAATTTAATGATTATATCCCATTTAGATATAGTGTAAACATAACTTTTTCGTGCAAAGAGAAAACAAAAGATTTGTGTGATTTGTTTATTGTAATATTCACTTTATTAGTAATTATTATACACCTACTAGAGGCCTGGTGCATGAAAATTCATGCACTGGGGAGGGGGGGTGCCTCAGCCCGGCCTGTCCCTTCTCACAGTCCCAGAGCCCTAAGAGGCAGGGGGCGACCCGGCAATTGGTGGAAGGTGACACCCCCATCACACCTCTGCTGCTGCACTGCTGGCTGCGCAAGCCTTGGCCGGCCCTGGTTTCCTGTGCCTCAGGCCTGCGCTGGGCGGCTGGGGGGCTGAGGGGACTGGGCGCCACAATCTTGTGGCTGTGGGAGCTGCCTCCTTTGAGGATGGGGCAGTCAATTAGCATATTCCCTCTTATTGGCTGTGTGTGCTGCCATCTTTGAGGCGGGGCTGTATATTAGCATATTCCCTCCTTATTGGCTGTGGGTGCCGCCATCTTTGCAACATGTGAGGGTCAATTAGCATATTCCTTCTTTATTAGATAGGATGGTAATATATGGAGTCAATAAAAATCACTATAGTACCATATATAGATGTATACACATGGTAATATATAGGATAAGTAAAAGGAATGTGGAAGTACTCAATCATGACTACATTTGAAGACATAATTGAGGAAGAATTTATGGAATCTGAATAAGAGGCTCAGGTTCCAGAATTAAACAGCTTTCTGTATTCGCGTTCCTTATCCTAATTTTAGGACACAGATCCCTAATTGACAGTGTTGTGCCTATAGATACCCCAGTGTCCCGTTCTCATACTGGAGTTTGACCTTTGATAAATTCCTCCATGAGAATATCTGCCTTCTGCTTGATCCCTAAATGCTGTTTGCCTCGAAACTCATCTTCTCTGGGTGTGGCCATATAACTAAATGGTTGCAGTAAGTTATTTTCAGAAAAGAAGAGCTGATGTCAGTTCCATAACACTGATCACTTGTTCCCTCTGGGTACCCTGGGCACACTGTGTCAAGTTGGGTCTCCCCACCAAGGTTGCCGAGCCCTTCGGGTCCAGATTCTCAACCCTCCTGTCTTTTCTCTAATCATACTCTTTGCCCTTTTCTGAAATCATCTCACTCTAAACATCTAATTTGCAAATATATAGACAGATTTTTAAACAGTCTAGTGGTAACAAAACATGAAAGCTCAGTAGGTATATACATTCCTTGGTGGTATAAATTACAGTCATGTAGGCATTTAGGAAACACAATACTGGATACTATTTTGAAATATTTGCACCTAGAATTTCTGTGATACAACAGATTATTCTCTAATGATAGCTTTTTAATTTTGTCACAAATGTTCTCTGTAAATATTTTCAACAATTTGTCTCTGGGGATTAAAAGACATTTGAGCCCTAACCGGTCTGGCTCAGTGGATGGAACATCGGCCTGTGGACTGAAAGGTCCCAGGTTCGATTCCAGTCAAGGGCGTGTACCTTGGTTGCAGGCACATCCCCAATGAGGGGTGTGCAGGAGGCAGCTGATCGATGTTTGATGTCTCTAACTCTCTGTCCCTCTCCCTTCCTCTCTGTAAAAAATCAATAAAATATATTTTAAAAAAGACATTTGATCTCTCTCCTCTTGTATTATAGCTCATTGGCATAATATGCATAATATCAAGACATAATATGAGGAAGTTGCCTTGGAGGAGAATGACATTCGAAGTATTTCTACTTTGTCTAATAAACTAAAGGGAAATATGCATATTGATTTAAAGCCTGATTTTAAATGACCTGACAGTAATTCATTCATTCAACAAGGAGTTAATAAGAAACAGCTGTAGGCCCAGGTCTGTACCAGGCACTTTGGAATTTAACAGATGAAGAAACCTCAGCCCCACAAACATGTAATAGCTAAGCCTGTGCAATACTAAACCACAAGTGTGAAGAAAAAAAAAAACTAAACAAGGAAATGAGTGATGTGAAATGAGGTTGAAAATACTATTTAGCAAGCCAGAAGAGACTATTGATATGAATTTAGAGCCACACCCACTCACCTCCAATCAAACCTCAGGATTGCACTATTCAGATTTACAGTAGTGACTTACCATTTCATCTTCCAGTTCTTGGTCAGCTCCTTCCAAATTTCCCTGGAGAAAAAGAGCCTTTTGTTTCTCTGCTATTTCATATGTTGGAAGCATCTCATTCTCATTTTGGAGTGTATCTAGTTTTTTACTAAAATGTGCCATCTTTACATCTTGGCTAATATTTTCAATGATGTCCACAGCATTTTCAGGACGTTCATCTAAGATCCTGGTCAGCATATTAGAAAGATGGTCATATCTATCCAAAAAGAGAAAATTCCAGGTGTTACCCACGTCAAAAGCGTTTGAAGAAGCATTTCATGCAGACTCAGGGAGCTGGTGTTTAGGAAACTTCAACAACTCAAAACCTTCAGAAATTTTAAGTGAATAAACATGGTAACTTCCACTGCCAGGAAAACCTATTCTAGAATTTTCCTTCAAAAATATCTCCAATATGATATGAATATTTAAAATATTAAAGAAAAACATTATAGAAAGATACATACAGTGGGGCCTTGAATTACGAGTTTAATTCATTCCGTGATGGAGCTTGTAACTCAAATTACTCGTATGTCAAATCAAAAAGTGAACGAGTGAGACACGTGATGCTGGGCTGATGTTGTGGCGTTCACTGTGATGTTCGATGCGCCAACTAGTGGTGGGGTATCTGAAGCTGGCTCGTAACCCAAATTTTAGCTCACAGATCAAAACAAAAAATCGGCTGAGAGACGGCTCATATCTTGAAAAACTTTTAGTCGGGACACTCGTAAGTCAAGGCCCCACTGTATTTTATATCAGGAACATTTCACATTTTATTTGAAATCTCTTAGTTATATATTTTAAAGTGATTAACATTTTTCTTTTTTACCTTAACTTCTTTTCCATCCCTTTCCCCACCCCTGCCAAATTCAATTTGATTTCTAAATCCTAGTGACTTTCCTAAAAGATATGTTCTCTTCTGTTTCATTTCCTAAGCCGATTATCTACTTCAGTGTACTTTAAACCTATTAGAAATACATTTCCTATTGCAACCCCTGCCCACATGCAACTGAGAGAAGTGTCATAAAATATTATTCACCTTTATTAAAATGTGACACATCTAATACAGTATTTTTGTTCCATTAAAAACACTGTCCTAGCTTTTTATTTCATAACTATATTAGTGAAGCTGTCTCTAACCTCCCATTAATTCATTACATTTTATATATAATGGTGAAAGTGTGCCTTTTCAAATACCAGACTTACAATGTGAATTTAAGAACTGAATTGTCTGTCAGTGTGCTCTCAGGGTAGATAGAAAATCCTCTGACCAATAAGGAAACTTGCATAAATTTTCTCTCTGACAGTTAAGCATTTATCTCTCCAATTTCATTTCTAATAATTAGTTCAATGATAACTTCTGCCCCAGTGAGGTAAATCTACTTCAGATCACTTTAATATAATTGCTAAGTCCTACCTGAGAGCCTTTCCCTGCTGTGTACCATATATATCATTTCTCTCAAGAAATTATTTGCAACCACTTTGTCCTCAGGTTGGCCCTGAAAACCATTCTTCGTGTAAAGTGGGCCTTTCTGAGATCACAAATACGCTGCTTTGTATTTGTGTAAATGACATACCTCCCAACTGCACTCGCTTCTTACATTGTCACCAACTGCACTCGCTTCTTACATCGTCAAAATTAGGTCTTTGCTTTTGTTTGTTGTTATCTCAATGAATGTCAAATAGTGTCCGCATACAAGAGAGTGAGGTTTATTTTTAGGGAGGAGTTTTTAACTACTGGCTCTAAAGTACTTAGAAAATAGTGAATATTAAGATATTCATTTATTACCTCAGAGACTGAGCATCTGGAAATGAAATAAAAGTTAGATACTTAAGCAATGTCCACTATAAAAAAAAATCAATAATGGAAACGTTCCCATTTTTGTGTTTTTATATTAGTTTTTAAGTAGTGAGATCTCGAGTATGTATAAGGAGCTCTTTTGGACTTTTAACCAAGTTTGTAAATTCCTACTTGTTATTTAGCCCAGGGCATTATAGTGAGAGTTTATATGAGAAATTCAAGTAGAATCCACTACTGAGCAGCAGATCACATCCCTAAAGCTTAAGGAAATTGTAGTTTAAGACAGTAATTTGTAAATAACATTTTAAATTGTCAATCTTGAGTTTTGTGAAAGATTGCACACATTAAATATGAGCGTTTTTTTATTCTTTAGACCTTAAAGTTATGGTGACTAATTCCCCTGGTTTGCCCAGACTAGGAGTTTCTTCAGATGCAGTTCTTTCAGTTCTCACATCAGGATAGTTCCAGAAAAACAGATAACTGGTCACCCAGAACCCAGCGCCCCTAGGATTTTCAAGTCTGATAGGTTGATTCCAGGAGCTAGGTGAGGGGCCAGTTGTTTCTTAGTAGAGGGACAGTGCATTTACAGAGCTTTACGGAGTGTGTGTGGGGGGGGGCGGGGGAGAGAATCTTGAGGGGCAGGTGACCATGAGACTCCAGTGTGCAGATCAGGAGAGCCCAGGACTAACACTTAGAAGACAAAGGTGTCTCATTGTGTGACCCAAACAACCAAACTCGGGACATTTTTGGAGAATAAACAAGGAAATCCTACTTTTGCTCTCCCCCCTCATATAGAATCTACCAGATGAAAAGACAGAGTATTCCCTTCAAGGAGAAGGCAATGCAGAAGGTTACCCTATGAATAAGAGATTCATGGGTTACCTGTTTTGTAATAATTGAAATCCAAATTAACCTTAAACATACATTTGATTGTATAATCCTTGTTTAGAATATAAATGTGACATGGTTACCTACACTCTTGGAAGTACAGAAAAACAAAAGTTTTCTCAATGAAGTATCAGAATGGTCTTTGAAATATTCTTCTCCCTGTAGATGGGTTTTGCTGAAGTCTTCTCTCTCTCCCAGAATTTCTTGTGACTTGCCTTGGTGAGCCAGTCATCTGTGATTTGACAACTGTCAGGCACTGTTTGGAAACCTAATTGTTTCAAAAGAATGTCTAGGAAATTGGTCTATATAAAAAATAAAGCACAATAGATCTAATTTATAATTCAATAAGAGTTGATAGAGTTGTGACCTGGTTAACTAAAAATGTAAAGTTAGCATACACACTATGTACACCATGTCTGGAATTAAAACAATGCTTGAATTTTTTTAATATCTTCTCTATATGATGATGCTATGATACTCTTTGTTTCTGTGGTAAGATTCACCTCTGGACTAAAGTTTACACTATTGACCTTATTTGGATCTTTGATTCCTGAATTGACCTTCCTTAACTAACATTGCACAGATTAACTGTTCCATATATTTAAAAGTCACTTTTTTTACATGACTGAGTCACTTTTAATACTAATTATTCATATTAATGATGTAGTGGACTTTTACCAGTTACTTTTCCAATGGACTTTCCATGTATTCTGAGGTTTCTTATAAGAGGGAGGATATGATGATAATA